TAGCTCTTCCACACCACACTCGCCAAAGTAATCCCTGAGTAGCCCAAAGCAGTTCTTCCATAGCACACTCACCAAAGTGATCCCTGAGTAGTTCAACGCAGCACTTCCACAGCATGTTCACCAAAGAGATCCCGGAGTAGCCCAAAGTAGCTCTTCCACAGCACGTTCCCCAGAGTGACCCCTGAGTTTTCAAGCTAGCTTTTCCACAGCACGTTCACCAAGGTGATCTCTGAGTAGCCCAAAGTGGCTCTTTCACAGCACGCTCGCCAAACTGATCCCTGTTCAACAAAGTAATCCCTGAGTAATTCAACGTAGCACTTCCACAGCACATTCACCAAAATGACCTCTGAGTATTCACACCACATTCACCAAACTGATCCCTGAGTAGCTAAACCTAGCTGCCTAGCTCTTCCACAGCACATTCACAAACTGATTTCTAAGTAGTTCAACTTAGCTTGTCCACAGCAACCACAGTTTTTAGTAGCGCAACTTAGCTTCTCCACAGCACATTTACCAAAGAGATCGCAGGATAGTTGTAGACTTGTAATGTACTTATCAAAGCAGTTTTTTCCCCACCCGTAGGACTGTGGGGCTGTTAGATTTTAAGAACTTTGGACTTCAGTAGACTCGCTACTTCTGCACATCCACCAGAGTGGTCCCAGCGTAGCTCAGAGCAACCCAAAGAACCACATCCACCAGAGTGGCCCACAGTGGCCCAGAGTAGCCCTTACACAGCACATCCACCAGAGTGGCCCCGAGTAGCCCAGCGTAGCCTTTACACCAGCACATTCACCAGAGTGCTCCCAAGTACCAGTTCCACAGCATATCCACCACAAGTTGACTTGGCAGGGATGCGGGGTTGCCAGGCATTAAAATATCGAAGTTCAGAAACCTCACAAGTAAGTATTCGATGTGTGGTTTTGTTTTCAATAAAGAATCCTTTTCGCGCCGAACCGCTTTTCTCTTGTGAAGACCAATTCTTTGAGGGTGGGGAATTTTGAAGTAAAGTAATTTGAGACGATTTTTTTGGGGAATGTCAGGGATGCGACTGTGTCCCAAGGGAGACTCGCAAAACCAGCTGCTTTGTATATTAATATCATGAAATGAATACTATAATATACTAGCATTAAACAACAATATGTTTCCTTTGTAGTGTTGAGTTCCTGTTTCTTTGGCTGAAGTGTAGATGTTGTAGCCAGGTGCTCACGTTGTCTCCGGTTCGCTAGGCAAGACCACTCCTTACGGCTCGTGCTCGTTTTGCATGCAGGTGGTTAGCACCCTGACCTGGGCGACCTCCAGTTTTGTGGCCAAAGAGCTCCTGAACTCCTGCGCCCGCCTCGCACGACACCGCTACGCCTGCCGTATCTTCTGCCGCTTGCAGGAGTTCTGCGGGAACAGGCGCTAAAACCGAAGAGAACACCGCGCGGCACATGTGTCTTCCGAGTCCGCTGGGGGATTTTCGGAGAGGCTCTGTCACGAGTGAATTCATGTACTGAAGTCCACTAAGTCACTAGTTGGGTGTGTGGCTGCAGGTTTCTTTCGGCACTTTATAGATCTTTCTGCGTTTTTGCTTTTGCAAAGGATGGGCATTCGGGTGGATCCTGAAATCGTTCGAGAAATTGGCTTTGCAGTTTTGCAACACTGCTTTTTATCAACATACTCACAGCATTTGGAAGCCATTATATAACAGTTCGAGAGGCCGGTATGTAGTGCGTTTTCTTCCCCAGCTAGACTCAGTTTAACATATATATATATATATTATAAATAAATACATAAATACATAAGTGTAGTTCTTTTTGCCATTGCTACTTTCTATGTGATTTTCCTCCGCTTCCGCTTATGTTTGGAACAGCTTCCTGTTCCTGCTGTTCCTGATGGCCAGCCTTGGTGGATTCCCACGTCCCACGTCTGCGGCAGGGACCTCACGCTCCAGCTGATTGATGAGCTGCTGGTTGAAGCCGAGGCTGCTGCCCCGAATATGGCTGAGTGGCCACCAACAAGTCTTAAAAACTGCAAACATCCCGGCAATGTATTGCAAGGGTCCTTACTATTCACTCAAAAAAGGATCAAAAAGGGGACCTAACAAACAGACAACAAGGGCCGTGTTACTTGCATTCATCTCCAATCTCAGCAAGTCATCCGGGGCAAACAGATCGGGTGGAGATGATTTCCCAAGCGGTTCACAATGACATGACCATTCGCTCACGTTTCGGTGGATCCTCAGATCTTGACAACTGAACTGATCAAGATGACTCCAATAGATCTCACGTTTGGACTTCATCCAAAAATCGTTTGCTACCATCGCTTTTTTCGAGGCCTGTCGGCCAAAGGGGGTGCTACATGCTTTCGGCCATGCTTTCGGCTGCACGGGGCCGCGTGCTGTGCTTTTCGCTTGGTCACTCACGTCGTCCTCGGCAGGATTTGTGCCGTCACAACTTTGGACACCACGTGGTGCAGTCCGTCTTGGAACATGGCCACGAGAAGCACCGAAAGGCAGGTATACCGGTGTGGTCTGTCCAACATCTCCCATGTGTCGCGTGACGAAGAAGACCACGTTGCCAGTTGGTAGGAGTGTGGAGGACCTACAAGAGAAGCACCACTCTATTGAATTCTATTGAGTGATTCTGATCACTGCTGTTCCCTCATCTGTACACTAACTAACTATTCTGCATGCCTATTACTGTGTGTTTGTTTCTGCTTGTTTTGTTTTCTCTGACACATCCATCATGCCATGATGTCATGGGCACGAAAAAAAGGCGGACCCACGGTGTCATCTTGACGTCACGACACCCATCGATCGATGTCGCAAAAGACCTGTCTTCGTGTCTTCGGACGTGGGTCTTTCATGTCTTTCACTCTTGCTAGTAATCCTTTACTCCTAGTACGGCCAGGAGCCCCGAACGTAGCATCCGATCGCTCCCCAGATGGCCGGTTCCTTCATGTTCCCATCCGAAGCGGCAGCGCCAGCCTCGTCCGCGGAGCGCGGACTCGAGAGTGCGCAGGTCGTGGCCACGATCCTGAGATCGGACCTTTTGAGCTTCGCCAAGCATCGCAATGCCAGTTACTTGGTGGAGAAGGCTTTGTCCTACTGTGCACTCGAGGCAGGGAAGAGACGCCTTGAAAGAGGTTTGTGGATGGGTGCTAGCGAGCAAGTCCAAGCTGAGACAACAGGAAGATAGGAACCTTTGGAGAGTGACGATGCTGAAGATCATGACGATGCTAGCATGTATGCTGCATGACGGCATCCCAAGCTGTATAGTTGTGATCCACGTCAGGACCAGCAGGCCTTGCTGGCTCAGCTGGGGCGCACCGAAGTCATCGTGGAGTTAGCCCGATCACAATTTGGGTGCTACGTGGCCAAGTCCTTGTTGCAGGATGAGAGGGTGAACGGCAAAGAGGCTTTGAGACGAATCCAGGCGAAGCGGCGAAGGGTTTGAAGCCCCTGAAGGCGACGAATCTTCGTCGATCAAAGGTGGCTGAAGCACCTCCAATGGTGGCTTAAAAGGAGCAAAAGAGGTCTAGTGCTCCCGCAGTTAAATGGTGCAGGACTGCTGTGTCGGTCTATTTTACTATATATAATTTATATATATATATATATTTTTTTTTTTTTTTTTTTAAACTTCTATTTTCAGATGTTCGGTTATGTAATGTTCGGTTATTTTTGCTTGGGGGGAGTAGACGTCGACGTCGTGTTGATGCAGGAAGACTGCCACTGGCTGGGTTTGTGGGATGGGGACTTGGACGGTGGTCCTGTATCCTCATCCTCCAGCTTTTGATGCGACCACGGGCAGGTGACGTTCGATGTGTAAGATGGATTTCCCAAGTACACTGACACTACTTTACCACAGCAACATGTTTTTGCCAAGATCTACCGTAATTAGGGCCAGACTATGGATGCTACAGATAGCCCTGATAGCCAGACTTCGGATCACCCCGTCCTATCATCTCTGGTTTGCCCCAGACGCCGCAGGCCTTGGCGGGCGACTTTGGACGGACTCGCCATGGGCAACGTTTGCTGGTTGAGAATCTTGGGAGAACTTAAGGAGAGCTTTGGCGATTTGGTTGATTCTTCCTTCCTACTAAAACACAAACACCCCCTGGGAATCTCGGATCTTTTTGGTGGGCAAAGATGCATCCTTGAACACTTAGTGGGGGTGAACCCTACCTGGACCTACCTTTCGAGCCTACCTGCTCAGCTTGTCGGAGAGCCCCACCTGGGGGCCCAGGTTGTAGTGGACTCTTCTCCATTCTTCTGTCAGTATGGAGGGATCTTTGCTGGGCCTTCATGATTCTGAACGAGAGAGGCCGATGTTCTTCCGTTTCTGAACGGCCGGATCGGTCCCCTGTGGTGAACACCGAGGATCGGCCTGGCCGAGGAGCTCGCGTAGAACACCCAAAATGCCGGGGGGGATGGGTGGATTCTGTCGGGCTCTTCCCGTGCCTGGGCTGGAGATCAGCTGGAGATCAGCGGTGCTTTTTCGGGATGCGGAACTTGGATGGAAGGGGCGGAGATGAGGTTTTCCCTTTAGAGAATGGATCAGGGGTGGCTACATAGAGGCCAAGGTGCTTTCCAGGGTGCCTCTCGGCTAGGAAATTGAAGTGCTGTAAACTGCTTGATGAGCCTGTCTTTTGAATGTCAAGCACCAGAGGAGGATTTAAATCTTGGGGTGTTCTTTCGTTTCGTGTCCTGCCACAGACGGTTTGGTGGAAAAGCCACCTGGAGACCTTTGTTATGGAGACACGAGCCTGGACAATTTCATGCGCACCTTGGTGCAGCAAGCTGACACCCAAAAAGCATCAAAAAGCTGAAGAGGGTTGTGAGAGTCCGTTTGCGAGTTGCAGACCAGGACCGTTTGCCTTTGGCCCTGTCGGGGGAGGGGGGGAATCTCTACCTCTACCCCACAAATCCATTATCCATCATTTTTACTCATATATTTTTAATATGAAGGTTTAAAATATGACCAATATTCTATTAAAATCTAAACCGACGAACCTTTCTTTTCTATCCACAAGAGGCAAGGGCGGAATCTCCTGAAGCAAAGACACACTGCACACAGCCCGAGATAGCACAAGACGTCTCCTGCGCGTTCCTCATGTCACTTACATAGCTCCGCGCTCTCTTCGCTTCAACGTTGGAAGGTTGCCACCTATTTTGCAACTGATTGGCCGTCTGCCGATGCACGGACGCAAGGCATGTACAGGCCGGGGTGATTTTGACAAAGAAGCACAAGGTGAGGTCTAAGCGGTCCAAGCAGACCAAGCAGATCTGTGAACTAAAACTCAAAAACAAGGCAAGCATACCAGGTATTGTTGTTGTATGTAAACCACAACAACTTAATTAAATATAAATTATACTTATGGAAGCATGGTGTTCAATGAAAGTGGTTCCGACAAAGCCCTGCAAGGTACCTTCTGCATATGGCCAGAAGGACACTTCATGCTTCTGCCTGCCAGCTTTCAAGTTCAACCAATTCGACTGCATTTGCATTTTTTTTGGCTACTACTGGATGCTTCTCTGCGTCTCCAAGTACCTTTGGGTGTGGTGTTGCACAGTTTGTAATGCACCACTGTTTTTAAGAGCGCACTTCGTTTGGCAAGCCATCTGAATATGAGAGTTTTGTTTTGATTGATTACCGGTTATTTTATGAAGAGCGCTTTTGTAATGAAGAATGGTCGTGCTAAAAGAAAAGCTCACGGGGATATTGGGATATCAATGATCAATCAAAGATTTCCTTTCAGCACGCTCAGGGTTGTGGCTTGCACCACAGTTGATTTGCTTATGGGAGCAGACAACCTTTGAAATGTACAGAGCAAGCCTGTAAGACTTCGGGTCTACCGAACGGCAAAGACGCCGCCTCCGTGCACGAACTTTGACTTCTTCACGGAAATTGCAGTAATATGTAGTTCGCGTTTGCTTTCCTCTTTTTTGTGGAAATGTCCGACGCACTTTGATCGTGGTCGGGACGAAACTGGAGAATCCAGTTTACTCCTGGCACGGACATTTCACCGGACCCCAGAAGAAGACAAACACCCCGTGGAAGTTTGCAAATTGAGGTGAGACACCCTCTTCTTCTGGGGCCCAATTCGCGACTTGTCCATGAACTCTTTGCATTCTTCTGTCACGCGACAGAGACAAGTTCTGCCAAAGATGTTTGCAAAGTTTTTGTTGCAGGAGATTCCTGTGTTCGAGCCCTGCTTGACATTTTAGGCCCAGCCACACCTGAAGAAGGTAGCAATGAAAGTTTAGGTCGAGGGAATTCCAGAGATGTATTTAAGTGCTGAACATCACGGGCATGGGTCCATCAGTTGGATATGCGAACAGAGAAGCTGAGGGAGGATCATCCTAATTTGGGAGTTGAATTGATCCACGCAACACATTTTGCTCCAAGCTTTGCAGGGGCTTTGTTCAGGACATCTTCTGGGGAGGCTCTCTCATTTGCGCACCGACGGCCCGTCGGGAAAAGAGGAGCAACTCCCCTTGGCGAGAGATGAAACCCGCCTTTTGCGTCCGAGTTCCGCACGGAAAAAGACGAGCTCCCTGGCTGCATCTCTACCGGCAGTGATTGCCTGTCTCTGATCCCTTTGCCCTTTGATGATAGAGCCGGACTGCAGGATAGGTCAATGAACTTCCCGGTAGTCTAGTTACTGTAGTGGATGTTCTTCAACCTGCTTCAAGGATTTCAACATCTCTCCTCGAATCAACGTCACTCTGTGGCCTTTTGCATGTGAAGCAACGGCGCCGTGCTTGGGCTCGAAGTTCACACAATTTTCCAACCACGCCGCACATGGGTCGGTGCCTCAGGAAAAGGCTACATTGCGGCTGATGTGGTATGATGTGGGATGATGTTCCCATATCTGACATGTACAGGGGATCTTACACGTTCATGAAGTGTTGTGATGGGCAGTTTGATGGGAGTGCAAGTGCTGCTCGGATGCTGAGGCTTTCCTGACGTAAGATGTAACCACGGAATCTGGTTCTCTTAAAGGTGATTTTGCCTCAACCCTGGACAGCAGGAATCACCTAAAATGTAAGATTATGATGATGAATTCCTGGGCATCCCTTTCATCCTATTCATAGCGGACCTTGCACAAAGCAGTGCAAGAGAGTGGAGAACAACTACCTTCATCCACTGCTACAGGCCTGGCATTGATCAATTCATACCGGCCACATCCGACTGCCTTCGTTCGTACTTTCTTCATCCACATGCCGCAAAAAACACAGTTCGATTCTTTCACAGGTGGCTGAAGTTCCCACGTCTTTTTTCCCTGAGGATTTCCTCCACCGGGGTCGCTCTCGGGTCGCTCTCGGATCGCTCTCGGGTCGCTCTCGGGTCGCTCTCCGATCTTCTGAGGTCGTGAGGCGCCAGAGCGCGTGCCGGACGACCGGCACAGTGGGTCGGCAGCCGAGATGGTCGGTCTCCGGAGATTTTCAGCGACTCAAAGAAAGCATCATCAAAAGTTGGTAACATCTAGTAGCATCTAGTTAACTGGCATGGGTAGGCTCAAGTCATGTTGTGTCATTTTGACAGTTTGCACCCTTTGATATATACCCATTTCACTGTCTTCACCTCTCAGACATCACGCATGAAAGGGTGGAGCAATTTTCTTTTGGACACCGGTCACCGGTGCACTAGACATGAGCAAAGTCTTGTTCTTTGTTTCTGGACTTTGCTATTTATATATTGGGTTTGTCCTATTACCTCTAAAAGTCAGTAAACACGCAAACAACTATATACTGTATATACTTTAGAGAAAGGCCCTTGCTAACCATCATCATCATCATCATCATCATCATCATCATCATCATCCACTGGGCCCTAGTAATAGGATAGACCCAAGCTATTTTTACTTTTTGTTCTGGACTTTTGAATCATTGCTGGAGTTTCCGGAATCTGACCTTTTGCTCATCGGCCCATATGGGCCATAAGCATATCAAGCTCGCTTTTGCCATACACCTTCTGACACCCGAATGGCGGTGGACGTTTGCCCTGGCGCCCTTTGTAGTGCAGAACTTCTGTCCTTTGGTGAACCGGAAGATACTGTAAGGTTCATGGTCTGAACAACATAAATTCCTGCCACACCAATGCCACAGCATCTCTAATGTACTGCCTGTTGTTTGGCGCCATCAAGTGCTTGGTTGTGGGTCGATCCAAGTGGATGCTAGAACAGTCCAGCAGTCCACCTTGGTAGATCAGGTGATCAGTCTTGCAAACACAAACATGCCACAGGCATTTGAAAGGGTTTCCTCTATGCTGGCCGATAGCTCACATTGACCCAATCTTGTGTGGATGGCCTCTGAACCAAGCCTAAAACCACCCATCCAATCATGACCGCCCTTTTCTGCAAAATACCCCAGGCGTGTCAATGGAGTTGGAAGATGAGCAGGAGGATGAACCATCCTACGATGATCCTGGCCAGCAGGCCTGGGATGGGCCTCCTTCGCTCGACCGGACGCAGTCGGACGCTGCAGAAAGGGGAGGGTCCTCAAATGGGATCCGCGGACTAAATCGGTCTCGTTCTAAATCGCTCTCTCAAAGAAGCACCCTTTCATCCCAACAAACCTTTTTCATACCCAGTGCCAGGTGCCCAGTGCCTTACTCTTCTCTATCTCTTTCATGTCCCAGGTCGCAACTGCCGGGCAGAGCTTCGTCTTAGCTTTGGCGGACGCTGGGGACCACAGCTGGACCCTGCAAGCCAACAGCGGCCTCAAAGACGGTTTAGCAGACTCCCTGTTGACCACTTGAGGGACATCACCGGATTTTCCGCAACTGGTAGGATGTTATATAGTTTTTTGGGGTGGTGCAGGATTTTGAAACAAATCATCTATGGCCTATGGCATGCGTGGAGAGACTAATTCTTACCCTCAAACAGTTTAATCATATTTAATATATACTACTAACTAGTAATTCCTGTCAGAATGGCAACTGCACCCCTCCTATTGATACAATCTTTTTTCAGAGTCCTATAGGAGCTTTCACTCTTTCGGCAAACAAGGAGCTACTCACACTTGACATTGGAAGATACGTGGACTGTGACTCTTTGGATGAAGATCTGTGGGTCAAAAGCTGAATAGACATGAGCACCCTCCATTTTGTTGGTCAACGAAGATCATCTGTGTAGACTGGTCGGGCGCCGCTCTAAATCGCTTGTGCGAATGGCCCACCGAGTGGCATCGCAGGTGCTGACTCATTTGTCCTCATTGAGACCACCGCCAACGGGGCAACGGGCTCGAAGCCAAGCTGGATAAAGGCCAAGGCTACAGCAAGATGCGCTTTCTGTGGCGTTTTTAAGCTTGAGAGAAGTATTCTGGCTTTGGTGTTCATGTTGAATGTACATGTTGATATTGAACGTGTGTATTTTTGCACCAAATTTTGCCAACTCCCGCATGCTTGCAGTGCAGATGTTTTTGTAGATTGGTTGACATGTTCTGCACTTGCAGATTTTGACTAAGAGAACATCGCATGCCGCTATTTTTCAAAATTAGATCCACCACCGTCACCTTATACGTACTGTGTATTGTATACATTCAATGCCTTTGTCAGGTGTTGCTTTCTTTCTTACTCTAGACTCTAGACATCCATACCCAGATATAGTAGTCTCTCCGGCTTGATGGAGTCTCTGCTTCGATCTCTTAGTGACGCTGCCGTCCGAGGTCACAAAGTTTCATTCAATTCGCCCGCCCCAGCTTCCTATACGAGATTATCTTTTCAGGAGCCGACGAGTCACGCGCGCAATAAGCTTTGCAGTGGAGCCGGCGGAGCGCCGTGTTTTCTTGCTGCTCTTCTTGGTTTTTGGGGAGTTTTTGGCGGCTGGGTTTCACCAGGGTGTTCTTGTTCAATTTACATGTCTTTAGTCTGCTTTCCGTCGGAGTGGCATCCTGCTTGGGACAGCAAGGGACTCGGAGATGGCGATTCTCTTCTCAATTTCTACGTTTAGTTTGCATCTATGCCGAAGTCCACATGCCTGCTTGCAGGATTGCCAAGTATTTTCAGTGCAGCCGGGAATGCTTTGTGCAGATACCTTACGCCTTGGAGAATTGAGCAAAGACCAGTAGGGAAATGCACGCAGAGACCTATTTGGGTAGACTCTAAAACAAGCACACAGGCACGTTTGCCTGATTTGGCCTGCCAGCAATGTTCTGTACTGCAACTTGACATTGGAAAACAAAGAGAAGCAGAACCGAAGTCTGTGTGCGCAGTTGCCGCACCGAGGCTGTGCCTGGTGTATATTGACAGGATCGTAAAGCTGCATCCAGACTTTACGATATGTAGCCTGAATATCCATAGGCAGGGGATGGCGGCTGGCAGCCTTTAAGGGTCCGATATGCTTGGGTCTTGTCATCACAGTCCGCACTTATGGCTGGTCATGTCAAGCATGGACCGCGTCGGATGTTTTGCTATGGGAGCGACATCGATTGATTCGTTCTTTGCTTCTCCCTTTGGTTTGCGAGGCTACTGGTGACCAGCGTTATGCTGGCTGTGAAATTCTTCGATGATGTATATTACAGCAACGCCTACTACGCCAAGGCGACGGAGTAGCCAGTGCTCGCATGTCATGTTGCATGTTGCCTTTCTCGGCGTGGAGTCGGCGTGCAGACGGCATCGAGCAACAGTGAAATGCCAGCAGACACATCAACATGACATGCTCACACCATTAGGTTTTGTTCCCACAGAAAAGAAAGCATGGAGACACCTGAGGAACGCATGTCGTGACTAGCTGCTAGTTTGGAAGGGGATCACCACTGCGTGTCCCCACCAAAGCCGCCAAGCTGCGTCGTTCGCTGGCCAGGTAGGAGGCGTGCGAACCAGAGAGGTCAACGCGCTGGAGAGCCACTTCCTTCAGCTTATCGAATGGAAGCTTCACGTGACTCCAGAGGACTTCCTTCAAACAACAAATGCCATGAAAGGCCCGCCTTGCCATTCCGAATCCACATAGGATTCTAAGCTGGTTAAAAGCTGGGGCCACGGAACAGGTTTCTTTTGGCACATTTCGGCCCAACTGTTTGAAGTGATGCTGGCTGACGGGATTATGCTCTGTGCCACTGTGCAGGAGTTTGATCAATACAGGAGCCATGTATGCACAGTTGTTGGGGCCCCAGGCTTGTGGAAAAACTGAGACATCATGAGACATCCTTGATATCTGAAATTGCACTGGGTGAAACTTGGAGGCCTCAGCTAATTAGCGGGCTGTTTCGGTTTGTGGATACCATTGGGCACCTGTCTCGACACACTGCCCGGAGCGACAAGCATACCGCACCGATCTCGACGTTACACTGAGGGCGCTGCTCAACCTGTGCCCAGGCATGGCACCCTGCAATAAAGAGATGGGAAATCTGGACAAGATGGAGGGCCAAGATGTTTTGGAGCCACATTTTTTGGGACGCAAGTTCACCACCACCGAGAAAGTTTAACCCACAGCCAGATAGCTACTAGACGAAGTTTGTGCAACTTTCCAACTTTCCCATTTTGTGCTCCTTCCTTTTGCCCCCTTAAAGGCATCCCTCCTGAGGCTCACTGCCGATGAAAGCCTTGGCTGAGCGCTTTGCTCCTTTGGTTTGGCTGAGAGAGCAAACCGAATGAGGCAGAGACAGCTCACACATTCTCCATTACGGAAATGTTTCACCCACCATTCGCAAGTTTCTCTTGCTCGTCCAGATGCGGTCAGAAGACTCTGTGACTGTTACCATTTGTTATGGTTGTTGGATGCAAATCCTGGCAATCCGAGATTCGCAAAGCCTCGATCGCGTTTGTTTTGTGTTCTTCGGTCCCCCGTTGAAAAAGGCGTCGGTTGATCTCAGCGATGCTGACAAGAACTCATGCCGGCTAGACTCTAGACTGTCATCGGGAGCTTCAGCTGTTGCTTCTATTGATGCATCTGTAGTTTTAGATTGATCCGCACTCTTGTTTCGATTGATCCGCACAATGAGATCCGCCTTCGAAAAGTCTCCAGCTTGTGCCCTGCGATTTGATGCCAGAAGACTTGGATGTGCATTTTGGAGGGTGGTGGAGGTTTCTGAGTATTTGCACCATGAGTTTCCGGGGTGGAGCCACTTGCGAGAAAACAACACTTGAGACTTCTGAAGTCACTGGAGCGATTCCACTCTCCCCACCACGCAGCGCACTTGGTGGACTAGGCGTTGTTTCTTCTACCGGGGAACGGAATTTGTTCCACACCCACGTCTTCTTCTGTGTTGAACTGGCAAGAGATGGGGGTCTCGGTGTTGGTCTTCTTCTCTGCCCTGTTTGACCGTCAGTTTGACCATTCTTTTCGGGTCGTAGACCCACACTCAACATACTCAACAATGTGTGTGTGTTTTTCAGTGGTGCCATGTTTTTTCGGCGGTCAGCTGTTGGGAATCCACGTGGGGAAAGCTATGGTGACGAACCGGACTTGACTAGACCCAGTTGATCCATTGTTGACCATCCGTCTCATGTTTCATGTGGAGTGAATGATCACCCATCCCTCTCAGATAAGCCATGCTGTTCAGCTTGGTTCAAGCAAAGTCGCGTCGGCATCGGTCGCACAAAGAGGAGGCATGGCGGCACGGCCTTTTCTATCGGAAAAGTTTTTTGTTCCCTCCCAGTACAAGCCCAGAGTTCTAGAGGGCGGCCCATCACTTTATGACATAGCAAGAAGCTACTAGTAACTAGTAGCTCCTGGAATTACTACTAGGAACAAGCTTCGCTATGAACGTAGCAAGGTGCATCGCGACTCGAACGGAGCCAGCTGTTGCACGCCACATAGCCAGCTGTTGCTGAGCGGTCCCGGCACCGAACCAGGGCTCCCGACTCCCGGGCCCAGTCCCTTTTTTCGGGCATTTTTGTATTTGCAGATGCGTGGATGAGAAGTGATGACATGAAAACAATGTGAGATATGAATCACATATGAAATCATAATATCATATATGAAATCATCTGAAACCTGAAAGTGATTGTCAGCATCTGAAAGTGAGATCCGCTGTCAGGTGATGTCTGACCTTTTGGACCTAACCGAGGAGAAGAAAGACGATGTGATCGTCTGGGACTGAGGTGTGAGAACCAGACCGCGCCACCGAACAAAGGAACAACCGCAACCAGACCGTCTCAGCACCGTCTCAACACTTTGGAAGGGTACTTCAACATCGCCAAAACACAATACTCGCTGCTCCAAGAACTAGAAGCAGTTGACCATGAAGGCTACAAAGGGACAGCTTCAAGAAAGCACGTAGACTGTTGCAACTTCCGATACAGCAATGGAGACAGTTTTTTTTAAGGCAAAAAGCATTTTCCCACGCGGCAGCCGCACAGGGCACAAAACAAGCCAACGACTTGGATCAAATTGAATGCACGCTTGAGGGAGGCAGCTATGTGAATGGTGAAGCTTTTGCCATTCAATAACTTAAGCTGGTTGTTGTCAAGGCTGCAAAAAGCAACAAAGCGCAAAACTATGACTGCTCGAGCTATACAACGACATAACCTCTAGCTGGACACATGGTGAATGATTCAAGCTTGCAAACAAACGTAGAATCCTGCGCACAGACTTCGTCTGCACATGCTCGAAATGCACCCACTATCAACATCACCGAAGGCATTGAACTGACCCTTCCAGGAATCCATCAGCATGGTTTGCATGATTTTTCTTCAGGAAGACGACTCGCGAAGTGTAGAGTGTGGAAAGGTTGCCTCATGACCATGTCATCCTGAGTATTCCTGAGCTTTTAAGGACCCTTTAGCTGCTGGGTATCCTTCTACCTCCACCTCCGCGGAAGCTCCTGCCCCGGCGGCCCCTGCGGCGGCCCCTGTGGCGGCAGAACCTGCAGCAGCTCCGGCCGCAGCAGCCGCAGGGGCCCTGGCTGTTTGATGGGTGCCTGGTACGGAAGAATTTGTCACCAGTCAAGTTTCATCATATATATATATATATATTTAGCTAGGGTTTGTACTATTACCTATAACTGTAACAGTCAGTAAACAATTATGACAATTTTTGAACAAGGCCTTTACTAACCATCATCATCCACGGTTTCAGGTAATAGGATGGACCCAATATATAGCTATTCGCCCTCACAAGGACGCCACGTCCTTACTTTTGAACGGACGTACGGTGACGTACGTTTGTACTGCCGACTGTAGGTTGGAGTCATATATCTTTACTGGAAACAGAAAGGATTCGTTCCATTCCGCTAGAGTTCAGAGTAGTTTAATCTAAATGTCCTAGACCCAAGTCGACCATATCTCGATGCAGATCTGCACATCAATGTCACCAGCTGACGCCATCTTTAGACCTGCAGTTTGATAGATGACATAGATGACACGGAGATCGAACGAGGGCCATCCGGGCCATCCGTGACTCTTCGCCTCGGTTTCCGAGGCGGAAGACGGCACGGCGTCCCGGAGGGGGTCGCGGGGGAGTTCGAGTCGACCGGCGCATCTCTTTCGGGTGCAGGGTTTGGTCCAACTGAATACTTGGCCAACAAACATGGAGGTGCCCCAAGCTATTGAAGTCATTCCATGTAATTCCCCACCTGTCAGGTGAGGGTTGTTAGATTTTATGTCAGCCCCATCTCCTTCGTTCCTTCCTTCCTTTCCTTCCTTCCTTCGTCTCCTTCTCCTCCTCGTCCTCTTCCGCCAGATCTCAACCACGACCATCCGCGCCCAGTGTTCCCTGCCGGACCTCAACCACCACCATCCACGCCCAGTGTTCCCTGCCGGACCTCAACCACGACCATCCGCGCCCAGTGTTCCTTGCCGGACCTCGACCACGACCTTCCACGCCCAGTGTTCCCTGCCGGACCTCGACCACAGCACACAACCACAAACACAACAACAAACACACAACCACAAACAAAACCACAAATGCACAACCACAAGCACACAATCACAAACGCAACCACAAACACAGTCACAAACGCAACCACAAAATGCACAACCACAAGCACACAATCACAAATGCAACCACAAGCACAGTCACAAACGCAACCACAAACACACAACCACAAACACAAACACACACAAGCACCTGGACTGACAAGCACCTGGGTTGCGAAATGCACAACAAGGTTGATGTCAACGTGGTTGTTTTGAAATGTCATGGTGGGGATCACTCGAAGTAAAGTAATTAGCTAGTTACTTTTTTCCAGAGTCTGTGAGGAAACTTTGGAATCAGCATAGTGCGCTTGAAAAGAAGAAGGAAGTTGTCCCAATGTTGGTATCATTGCAGTTCTCGGGCTGATAGTTTTTGAGCTAGCTGCACTTATTGGCATTTTGGGACCCAATAGGACCCACATATTTATTGCGACCGCGCGGGGGGCCACGCTTAATCTCAGGACCCAGTCGACCCCGACGAACCACCACCACCACAAGAACAACTACTACTGCAACAACTACAACAAGAACTACTACTACTACTACGACGACGACGACTACTACTACTACGCCGCCGACGACGACGTGCATGTTGTGTCGGTGGGTATTGTGGACGACCCACCCCTCTTATACAAGTGATTCCAATCTGTTAAGTCCGCTGGGGATGCCAGAAAGCGATAGCAATGCTTCAGCAACCAGCGACTCCTCGCATCCCAGCGCATGTGCGGGAGGTGCTGTCGTTACCGCTAGGGGAATTGGAGCTGGAACTACCACGTTTGTGGCGTGCTTGCGACAACATGCTGGTGCGTTCTAATGCGCGAAGTGCCATGCGCCAGTTGGAACGGCTGCTGCGCTGGTATCATGTGAATACATCCCGGGTGTTGCAGCACTTGGACACGCACCTCTTTAGCAGGATTGTATATAGTCGAGTTTCTGTAAGGTGTGTGTGTGTAACCCTTGGAATCATAGGGATCCTTTTGGATTTTAGCAGGGGAGCGGTGGGCATTCTTGAAGTCACCGCTCAACGAAGACACTTCAAGTTTGCCGTGATTTGCAATCTGGACGCAGATTGCACGTACCTGCATTTTTCCTTTTCCGAATGGCATGAGGCTAAGCCTAGAACCTCAACGATTTGGTACTACGTACTTCATGTTGCCGCAGTCACGCACGGAACGCCGTCACCCTGTCGGACCGACCTCGTCTTGAGCCTTTGCCCTCTTAGTCTGCTCTTGTTTTGTTTTCTTGGTCTGTCTTTCTAAGGCCTTTTAGGTGACTAGTAGTTTTCCGGAACGCCAATATTGGCGTTATGTGTACAAAGTTGTTGCCAACAGATCGCTACTAGGAGCAAGGACGGTACTACTATAGGGGCCTCTGGCCGGTCTACGGGGAGCAAGGACGCTACTAGGGACTTCTGGCCTCAATACTAGTTTGCAGGTAGGAGAGCGCGCCGAGTACGGCGCCGTGTGTGTGTCCACACCTGTCCCTAAGGTTTCGAGTCACAAAGGACGCTACTAAGGGCCCCCGGTTTCGCTACTAAAGGCTCCTAGTATCGCTATTAGCGTACAGCTTGTCAATTTTTTAACATGTACAAAGCGCGCAAAAAAGAAGCAGGGGGATGAGGATCCCTTGGTGTGCCTCATCTAACAAAGACCGCGCCAAGTGGATGTGATATCAGTGCCCGGCCAGCACTGACGTA